TACAGTGCGTGCCAACCGAGCGACCCTTAAATAGACCACCACCAGCACTGACGCGCGGTGCCATCGGGGGCAGCAGCAGCAGCGGCAGCCACACCACGGGTAGGGCGCGAACTATTTGCGGCGGATCACTCGGCAGGTGAAGTTGGTGGTGGTGGCGTGGTGGTGGTGGCGGTGTGGTGGTGGTGATGACGGTGTGGTGGTGGTGAAGTTGGTGGTGGTGTTTCTTTTCACGCGTGTGGTTTGCGGTTCTTTCCTTGCCGTGCTGCTTCTCGGCCATCGCGGTCGTTAACGCTTCATACAGGACGTCTAGCTATGTTGGGATAGCCATCGCTGTGTGCTGTGCAACATAACGCCATGCTGTGTGTATAACATCACGCTATGTGTGTGTGTAACATCACGCCATGCTGTGTGTATAACATCACGCTATGTGTGTATAACATCACGCAATGCTGTGTGTGTATAACATCACGTTATGTGTGTGTAACATCACGCTATGCTGTGTGTATAACATCACGCTATGTGTGTTTGTATAACATCACGCTATGTGTGTGTGTATAACATCACGCTATGTGTGTGTATAACATCACGCTATGTGTGTGTGTGTATAACATCACGCTATTTGTGTGTGTGTATAACATCACGCTATGTGTGTGTGTATAACATCACGCTATGTGTGTGTGTGTAACATCACGCTATGTGTGTGTGTGTATAACATCACGCTATGTGTGTGTGTGTATAACATCACGCTATGTGTGTGTGTATAACATCACGCTATGTGTGTGTGTATAACATCACGCTATGTGTGTGTGTGTATAACATCACGCTATGTGTGTGTGTGTGTATAACATCACGCTATGTGTGTGTGTGTATAACATCACGCTATGTGTGTAACATCACGCTATGTGTGTGTGTATAACATCACGCTATGTGTGTGTGTGTAACATCACACTATGCTGTGTGTATAACATCACGCTATGTGTGTGTGTGTATAACATCACGCTATGTGTGTGTGTGTATAACATCACGCTATGTGTGTGTGTATAACATCACGCTATGTGTGTGTGTATAACATCACGCTATGTGTGTGTATAACATCACGCTATGTGTGTGTGTATAACATCACGCTATGTGTGTGTGTATAACATCACGCTATGTGTGTGTGTATAACATCACACTATGCTGTGTGTATAACATCACGCTATGTGTGTGTGTATAACATCACGCTATGTGTGTGTGTGTAACATCACACTATGCTGTGTGTATAACATCACGCCATGCTGTGTGTATAACATCACGCTATGCTGTGTGTGTGACATCACGCCATGCTGTGTGTGTGTGACATCACGCTATGCTGTAAGTGTGTGACATCACGCTATGCTGTGTGTGTGACATCACGCCATGCTGTGTGTGTAACATCACGCTATGTGTGTGTGTGTAACATCACGCTATGCTGTGTGTGACATCACGCTATGCTGTGTGTGACATCACGCTATGCTGTGTGTGACATCACGCTATGCTGTGTGTGACATCACGCTATGCTGTGTGTGACATCACGCTATGCTGTGTGTGACATCACGCTATGCTGTGTGTGTGTGACATCACGCTATGCTGTGTGTGTGTGACATCACGCTATGCTGTGTGTGTGTGACATCACGCTATGCTGTGTGTGTGTGACATCACGCTATGCTGTGTGTGTGTGACATCACGCTATGCTGTGTGTGTGTGACATCACGCTATGTGTGTGACATCACGCTATGCTGTGTGTGTGTGACATCACGCTATGCTGTTTGTGTGTGACATCACGCTATGCTGTGTGTGTGTGACATCACGCTATGCTGTGTGTGTGTGACATCACGCTATGCTGTGTGTGTGTGACATCACGCTATGCTGTGTGTGACATCACGCTATGCTGTGTGTGACATCACGCTATGCTGTGTGTGTGTGACATCACGCTATGCTGTGTGTGTGTGACATCACGCTATTCTGTGTGTGTAACATCACGCTATGCTGTGTGTGTGTGACATCACGCTATTCTGTGTGTAACATCACGCTATGCTGTGTGTGTATGACATCACGATATGCTGTGTGTGTGTGTGACATCACGCTATGCTGTGTGTGACATCACGCTATGCTGTGTGTGTGTGACATCACGCTATGCTGTGTGTGTGTGACATCACGCTATGCTGTGTGTGTGTGACATCACGCTATTCTGTGTGTGTAACATCACGCTATGCTGTGTGTGTGTGACATCACGCTATGCTGTGTGTGTGTGTGACATCACGCTATGCTGTGTGTATATATAACATCACGCTATGCTGTGTGTGTATATATAACATCACGCTATGCTGTGTGTGTATATATATAACATCACGCTATGCTGTGTGTGTATATATATAACATCACGCTATGCTGTGTGTGTATATATATAACATCACGCTATGCTGTGTGTGTATATATAACATCACGCTATGCTGTGTGTGTATATATAACATCACGCTATGCTGTGTGTGTATATATAACATCACGCTATGCTGTGTGTGTATATATAACATCACGCTATGCTGTGTGTGTATATATAACATCACGCTATGCTGTGTGTGTATATATAACATCACGCTATGCTGTGTGTGTATATATAACATCACGCTATGCTGTGTGTGTGTATATATAACATCACGCTATGCTGTGTGTATGTATAACATCACACTATGCTGTGTGTGTATGTATAACATCACGCTATGCTGTGTGTGTATGTATAACATCACGCTATTTGTGTGTGTGTATAACATCACGCTATGTGTGTGTGTATAACATCACGCTATGTGTGTGTGTGTAACATCACGCTATGTGTGTGTGTGTATAACATCACGCTATGTGTGTGTGTGTATAACATCACGCTATGTGTGTGTGTATAACATCACGCTATGTGTGTGTGTATAACATCACGCTATGTGTGTGTGTGTATAACATCACGCTATGTGTGTGTGTGTGTATAACATCACGCTATGTGTGTGTGTGTATAACATCACGCTATGTGTGTAACATCACGCTATGTGTGTGTGTATAACATCACGCTATGTGTGTGTGTGTAACATCACACTATGCTGTGTGTATAACATCACGCTATGTGTGTGTGTATAACATCACGCTATGTGTGTGTGTGTATAACATCACGCTATGTGTGTGTGTATAACATCACGCTATGTGTGTGTATAACATCACGCTATGTGTGTGTGTATAACATCACGCTATGTGTGTGTGTATAACATCACGCTATGTGTGTGTGTATAACATCACGCTATGTGTGTGTGTATAACATCACACTATGCTGTGTGTATAACATCACGCTATGTGTGTGTGTATAACATCACGCTATGTGTGTGTGTGTAACATCACACTATGCTGTGTGTATAACATCACGCCATGCTGTGTGTATAACATCACGCTATGCTGTGTGTGTGACATCACGCCATGCTGTGTGTGTGTGACATCACCCTATGCTGTAAGTGTGTGACATCACGCTATGCTGTGTGTGTGACATCACGCCATGCTGTGTGTGTAACATCACGCTATGTGTGTGTGTGTAACATCACGCTATGCTGTGTGTGACATCACGCTATGCTGTGTGTGACATCACGCTATGCTGTGTGTGACATCACGCTATGCTGTGTGTGACATCACGCTATGCTGTGTGTGACATCACGCTATGCTGTGTGTGACATCACGCTATGCTGTGTGTGACATCACGCTATGCTGTGTGTGTGTGACATCACGCTATGCTGTGTGTGTGTGACATCACGCTATGCTGTGTGTGTGTGACATCACGCTATGCTGTGTGTGTGTGACATCACGCTATGCTGTGTGTGTGTGACATCACGCTATGTGTGTGACATCACGCTATGCTGTGTGTGTGTGACATCACGCTATGCTGTTTGTGTGTGACATCACGCTATGCTGTGTGTGTGTGACATCACGCTATGCTGTGTGTGTGTGACATCACGCTATGCTGTGTGTGTGTGACATCACGCTATGCTGTGTGTGACATCACGCTATGCTGTGTGTGACATCACGCTATGCTGTGTGTGTGTGACATCACGCTATGCTGTGTGTGTGTGACATCACGCTATTCTGTGTGTGTAACATCACGCTATGCTGTGTGTGTGTGACATCACGCTATTCTGTGTGTAACATCACGCTATGCTGTGTGTGTATGACATCACGATATGCTGTGTGTGTGTGTGACATCACGCTATGCTGTGTGTGACATCACGCTATGCTGTGTGTGTGTGACATCACGCTATGCTGTGTGTGTGTGACATCACGCTATGCTGTGTGTGTGTGACATCACGCTATTCTGTGTGTGTAACATCACGCTATGCTGTGTGTGTGTGACATCACGCTATGCTGTGTGTGTGTGTGACATCACGCTATGCTGTGTGTATATATAACATCACGCTATGCTGTGTGTGTATATATAACATCACGCTATGCTGTGTGTGTATATATATAACATCACGCTATGCTGTGTATGTATATATATAACATCACGCTATGCTGTGTGTGTATATATATAACATCACGCTATGCTGTGTGTGTATATATAACATCACGCTATGCTGTGTGTGTATATATAACATCACGCTATGCTGTGTGTGTATATATAACATCACGCTATGCTGTGTGTGTATATATAACATCACGCTATGCTGTGTGTGTATATATAACATCACGCTATGCTGTGTGTGTATATATAACATCACGCTATGCTGTGTGTGTATATATAACATCACGCTATGCTGTGTGTGTGTATATATAACATCACGCTATGCTGTGTGTATGTATAACATCACACTATGCTGTGTGTGTATGTATAACATCACGCTATGCTGTGTGTGTATGTATAACATCACGCTATGCTGTGTGTGTATGTATAACATCACGCTATGCTGTGTGTATATATAACATCACGCTATGCTGTGTGTGTATATATAACATCACGCTATGCTGTGTGTGTATATATAACATCACGCTATGCTGTGTGTGTATATATAACATCACGCTATGCTACATGCTGCTGTCATTGCTTGGCTTATTAAACGTGGAGCTGCGATGGTCACGAAGTCGCCTCGCGTGTCGTCGTGTGGGCTCACTTGGGGTGGGTCGCTTCGTCCTGTTGACCCGAGAGATGGAGCCGACTTTCATCCAGCAGTGGATTGATGGTGATTGCTGATGACGGAGCTAGCTTAGGGAAAGATTTCATCCAGCAGTGGATTGATGGTGATTGCTGATGACGGAGCTAGCTTAGGGAAGGATTTCATCCAGCAGTGGATTGATGGTGATTGCTGATGACGGAGCTAGCTTAGGGAAGGATTTCATCCAGCAGTGGATTGATGGTGATTGCTGATGACGGAGCTAGCTTAGGGAAGGATTTCATCCAGCAGTGGATTGATGGTGATTGCTGATGACGGAGCTAGCTTAGGGAAAGATTTCATCCAGCAGTGGATTGATGGTGATTGCTGATGACGGAGCTAGCTTAGGGAAATATTTCATCCAGCAGTGGATTGATGGTGATTGCTGATGACGGAGCTAGCTTAGGGAAGGATTTCATCCAGCAGTGGATTGATGGTGATTGCTGATGACGGAGCTAGCTTAGGGAAGGATTTCATCCAGCAGTGGATTGATGGTGATTGCTGATGACGGAGCTAGCTTAGGGAAGGATTTCATCCAGCAGAGGATTGATGGTGATTGCTGATGACGGAGCTAGCTTAGGGAAAGATTTCATCCAGCAGTGGATTGATGGTGATTGCTGATGACGGAGCTAGCTTAAGGAAGGATGTCATCCAGCAGAGGATTGATGGTGATTGCTGATGACGGAGCTAGCATAGGGAAGGATTTCATCCAGCAGTGGATTGATGGTGATTGCTGATGACGGAGCTAGCTTAGGGAAGGATTTCATCCAGCAGAGGATTGATGGTGATTGCTGATGACGGAGCTAGCTTCGGGAAGGATTTCATCCAGCAGTGGATTGATGGTGATTGCTGATGACGGAGCTAGCTTGGGGAAGAATTTCATCCAGCAGAGGATTGATGGTGGTTGCTGATGACGGAGCTAGCTTATGGAAGGATTTCATCCAGCAGAGGATTGATGGTGATTGCTGATGACGGAGCTAGCTTAAGGAAGGATGTAATCCAGCAGAGGATTGATGGTGATTGCTGATGACGGAGCTAGCATAGGGAAGGATTTCATCCAGCAGTGGATTGATGGTGATTGCTGATGACGGAGCTAGCTTAGGGAAGGATTTCATCCAGCAGTGCATTGATGGTGATTGCTGATGACGGAGCTAGCATAGGGAAGGATTTCATCCAGCAGTGGATTGATGGTGATTGCTGATGACGGAGCTAGCATAGGGAAGGATTTCATCCAGCAGTGGATTGATGGTGGTTGCTGATGATGGAGCTAGCTTAGGGAAGGATTTCATCCAGCAGTGGATTGATGGTGATTGCTGATGATGGAGCTAGCTTAGGGAAGGATTTCATCCAGCAGTGGATTGATGGTGATTGCTGATGACGGAGCTAGCTTAGGGAAGGATTTCATCCAGCAGTGGATTGATGGTGATTGCTGATGATGGAGCTAGCTTAGGGAAGGATTTCATCCAGCAGTGGATTGATGGTGATTGCTGATGACGGAGCTAGCATAGGGAAGGATTTCATCCAGCAGTGTATTGATGGTGATTGCTGATGACGGAGCTAGCTTAGGGAAGGATTTCATCCAGCAGTGGATTGATGGTGGTTGCTGATGACGGAGCTAGCTTAAGGAAGGATGTCATCCAGCAGAGGATTGACGGTGATTGCTGATGATGGAGCTAGCTTAAGGAAGGATGTCATCCAGCAGTGGATTGATGGTGATTGCTGATGACGGAGCTAGCTTAGGGCAGGATTTCATCCAGCAGTGGATTGATGGTGGTTGCTGATGACGGAGCTAGCTTAGGGAAGGATTTCATCCAGCAGTGGATTGATGGTGATTGCTGATGACGGAGCTAGCTTAGGGAAGGATTTCATCCAGCAGAGGATTGATGGTGATTGCTGATGACGGAGCTAGCTTAGGGAAGGATTTCATCCAGCAGAGGATTGATGGTGATTGCTGATGACGGAGCTAGCTTCGGGAAGGATTTCATCCAGCAGTGGATTGATGGTGATTGCTGATGACGGAGCTAGCTTAGGGAAGGATTTCATCCAGCAGTGGATTGATGGTGATTGCTGATGACGGAGCTAGCTTAGGGAAGGATTTCATCCAGCAGTGGATTGATGGTGATTGCTGATGACGGAGCGAGCTTAGGGAAGGATTTCATCCAGCAGAGGATTGATGGTGATTGCTGATGACGGAGCTAGCTTAGGGAAGGATTTCATCCAGCAGAGGATTGATGGTGGTTGCTGATGACGGAGCTAGCTTAGGGAAGGATTTCATCCAGCAGTGGATTGATGGTGGTTGCTGATGACGGAGCTAGCTTAGTGAAGGATTTCATCCAGCAGAGGATTGATGGTGATTGCTGATGACGGAGCTAGCTTAGGGAAGGATTTCATCCAGCAGTGGATTGATGATGGTTGCTGCAGCACCGACTGCTGCTGTTGATCGTAACCGCGACCCTGCTGTAGTATATCACACTTTACTGTACTACAGTACTGTTATAGCGTCATCGGCCACATTCAATCCACTGCTGGATGAAGGCCGCCCTTCCCAAAGATGTCGCCGTCTCCTCCCCACGCTGGCCTGTTTCCGCCATCACATTTGGAATATAATTGGTAGAAGGATTTTATTGTGCAAAACCCATAAAACTTGCAGTACAGCAAATGGATTGAATCCATCTGTGTGGAGTTTTTAGTGTTATTCCCTTGCATGCTTGATGGGTTTTCTCCTGGGTTCTCCAGCTTCTTCCCACTCGTTAATGGGATTGGTCAACCATCCCAGTGTCGCAGGACTCTATCCGAGAGTGAGAGTTTCCGGGATAAATATAGTGACCTTAATATTGTTGCTATCATTTCCAAAAGATGCGACACCGAAACGTAACATTGGTATCGACGCCTTTCTCCCCAATGTCTTTTCACCTCCACAGGACCCAGCCATGGCTCTGGTGGAAATTTCCAGCAACCGGATTTTTGAAGGATATCAGAAGGTGTTTGAACATGAGAGGTACTTCCTGACTTTTAATCTCGATCTGATCGTAACCGCGACCCGGCTAGATCTTGCTGCAGCTGTCCCACCTGATGACGGACGCTTGTGTTGCTTCCGAAACGTCGTGATTTAATACATTTTATTTTATACCTACGTGACTTTACCGAAAGAACCAAAGAGCATGGATTCCTGTCTTTTCTTTTGTATGACATTTACAAAGCGGCCGGCAAAACATGATCACCGCGTGTTTACTCTGGTGATCCATTTGTTGCTTGGTGTATAGCGTTTGGACCTCCTGTGTAAGGGTATAATAGGTAGTGTGGTATTTACCAATTGCCAGACGGTTACAGTGAACGTGTGGCTCTGTACCCGGTGGCACACCACCAGAAGGAGGAGCAGAGTCATTTAATTTGAGTAGAATTTTTTTATTTTATTTTACCAGGTGAGGCCCACTGAGCTACGTGGCTCTTTTTCAGAAGCGACCTGGCCAAAAATGATAGCTCAACGAAGTGGCTTATCACGTGGAAATTTATAGCAGCCAAATACTCTGAACGTACGTCGATTCTAAATGTAGAGGGGGAAAAACCGGAGGACCCGGAGAAAAATCCACATGACCACGGGGAGAGAGACCGCCAGAACTCCAAATATACACATCAGGTCGGGATAGAACCCACGACCTCCTGCATACCAGACGAGGGAGTTAACATCTCGCCACCATGGCAAGATGTTTGTACAAAAGGGCAGCAGACGGGGGCAAGGTGACAGGGAAGAGAAGGTTTGCTATTGCAGAAACTCTGCGTCATCGGTGAGAGTACAAGCACGAACCACTGGGAATTTAAAATTCCAAAGTTGGTTAAACTAAATCTGAAGTAAAGGGGCAGTTAGACTTAAAGTATAGATTGCTGCAATTATCCTCATCAGCAACATAATTATTGTAATCATTAGCAGCAACAACATTAGGCATAGCAACATCAACAGCAGCAACAGCTTCATCAACAGCTTCATCAACAGCTTCATCAACAGCAGCAACAGCATGATCATTATTGGTAACAGCAGCAGCACCGTGAATTTTCCATCCAACTGGAGGCCTCGCTAGAGCACTCAACCTCCCACTTGGATGAATATAAAACGCAATATTTAAATTCGGTCACAACGGAGGGCGAATTTATTCCAACGGCGTTTTATTATGGGACTGGACCCACCCTCCCTTGGAGCAAGGTCCACCTCCAGCGCGCAACTCGCATTTAGAACGACGCTCAAGCAGGCATGGCCGTTGTAGCATTGGGACTGTGACGAATCCTAGTCGCCATCTGTTTCCATCTGTCCGGGTATAGGGCGTTGCCCCCCCCCCTCCCCAACACGTGTGGGTTTTCTCTGGTTTCCTCCCTCGTGTATAAACACACATCATTAATTGGCTGAAAAAAACCTTAAAACAAAAATCGAATGTAGTAGGACCCTCTTGAAAAAGAGTCTGAAGTCTCAGTGTGGCTCTGCTGGATATTATGGATGGATAAATAAATAAAGCTGTATTCATCCATCGTGCATCTCTCCCCTCCCCGATCTCCCCCGTCCACCGCGTGCCCCCTCGCCTACTCGCAGCTTGGAGCTCAAGTGCAAGATGCGCTTCGGCATTTACCTGCCGCCCAAAGCGGAGACACACAAGTGCCCAGTTCTCTACTGGCTATCAGGTGACCCGAGCATGGGCAGACTACCGCCACCGCCACTCAGAAACCGTTATTAATAATAATAATAACGATAACGACAATTTAACACGTAAGCTTGCGCGACCAATATCCATAATACAGGTTTTTTGGGTTAGATCTTCGTAAATATATAAATGCCGTTAAAACCCGCCACCACCCAACACAGCCAACTCGTAAGGGTTGTCACGTAAACAGAACGTGCCAATTTGTCACTAGTACAGCACACCGGTTGTGTGTTGGAGAGCCAAGATTGTAAATGTTGTGGCTTGGCTCTCCAACACACTCGTGACGAATTGGCCACGTTCTGATTACGTGACAACCCTTACTAGTTGGCTGTGTCGGGTGGTGGCGGGTTTTAAGGACACATATTTACGCGATCTAACCCAAAAAACCTGTATTATGGATGATGACAATTGTTGTGATTTTTCTATTCGCGGCCGCTCTCATAGCGCAAGCCTCTCGCGAAGGAAAGCGCTGCGTTTCCCAGATGGCTATAGTTTGCCAGTAGGGAGAGGCGATGTTGCTACGCGTAATCCTGATTATGATGATGATTTGCGGAATAATTTTTCAGACTGAGCATATTTTGGACCATGATGCTGGCACACAACATCGCGTGAGCTGGTTATGTGCGTGTACGTATGTTGAACTTCGTTCGCACCGTACGTAGCCAACTGTGCTATTCGGAGGTGCGATTAGTTTGTGGGCCAGAGCAGAAATTGGTACCGCCTAAGGTTGCATCACTTTCATCATACCGATTTATTTATGCGGTGAATACAAGTGAACTACGTGATAACCCAATCGCATCAAGTGGTTATCACTTGATTCACTCCTCTAATTGGCCTCTTAAAGAAATTGGAACCATTAAAGCGTTGCCAGGTGGTACCGACGAGTGAAGTATGAACTGTGTGTGTCTCAGCCCATGTTTGCTCTCTAACGTTGTGCCCACATCGCCCCCCCCGCGCCACGCCTGCCAGGCCTCACGTGCACCGAGCAGAACTTTGTGACGAAGGCCGGGGTGCAGCGCCTGGCGTCGGAGCACGGCCTCATCGTGGTGGCGCCTGACACGAGCCCTCGTGAGCAGCAGCAGCAGCAGTAGCAGCAGCAGTAGCAGCAGCAGCAGCAGTAGCAGCGCGCCCAACATCCCGTCGCCATCATCACCAGCATCGACGCGAACGTCACTCGTCACCAACCGACGACATCGTCCGTCGTCGGTTGTGGCATCAACAGCATCCATGCTCTCTTCGATTATCACCAGCGTCATTACGAGCATCATTACCACCAGCGTCAATGGTGGCATTGTTACCAACATCATGATTCTAATCATAACATCATCATAACAATTTATCACCACCATCAACTGCAAGGCGCCACTGCCGCGCAGTGTTCACTCACTTTTGAACAGTTTCCATTCCCGAATTCCCTACGTCACGAAGCTCAAAGCAGAACAAGCGAAATGTCGTCGTACCTGTAACCCTCCGGTGAGGCGGAGGAGCTTTCGCGGTCAAAATTTGATCAATACCTCGGCACGTATAAATAATAATATCGTTGTAAACGTTGGCAACCTTGTCGGGTGTTGAGGGGTGATATAATGACCAGGATTTTGACATAAAACTACTTCTACTTTAACTACGTGGAATGACCCGAAAGAAAACATGGAACCCCAAACCCGTGTGTCGGCGCACTCAGGCGGCTGTAACGTGGAGGGGGAGGACGAGAGCTGGGACTTCGGTTCGGGAGCCGGCTTCTACGTGGACGCGACGCGCGACCCCTGGAGCCAGCACTACCGCATGTACTCCTACGTCACGCGCGAGGTGACGCGCTGCGGGTGGAACGACGTGCCCAACTCGTCGCTTCTGCATCGATGCTTTTTTTTTGTCCTAATAGATTTAGGTTTTTTTTTTTTTTACACCTCCACAATTTTATTCCAAGTGGAGCTATCGGCGTCGTGTCACTTGACGAAGTGCCCATTCGGAAATCTCGCAGTGCAGCGCGGCCCTCGCATGTTAGAGAATGGCCCGTGGAAGCGGATATCGCAGAGCTACCATTCGAGATCCTTAAAGCGACCTCTGCTCCACTATTCCACACGGTCCAGGGAAGCGCTTTTCCTACCGGCTCTTCCCAGACACTCTTGCAAATGAGACTACCCTTGTCTCTTGAGTTCACACCTGGTTAAACATTACAAAAATATATATAATATTCATTGCATGACAGTAAAACTGATCGAGTGCAGAACATAAATTGACGTAATTTAAAGTTTTTGTTTCTGTTCAGTCATTCGTGACCGGGCTGACACCATCAACTCGCTACACGTGAGAACCCAACTTTAACCGCAGGCGGCTAAAACCTGGGTTCGACCTCTAGAATTGAGCGTTGCCAGCTCGGTGACTTCCAGAAGATGATTGTGATCGCAATGCTTTACTATGGGGAGAGATGTCTTCTGGAAGATCATTGTTGTCAACTAGATTAAACTAAACTATTTTTATTTTACCAGGTAAGGCCCACTGAGCTATGTAGCTCTTTTTCAGAAACGACTTGGCCACAAATGATAGCTCAACTAAATGGCTTAGCATGTGGACATTTATAGTGGTAGCCAAATACTCTAAATGCACGTTAATTCCAAATCTAGAGGGGAAAACCGGAGGACCCAGAGAAAAATTCACACAATTAAAACATGTCTACCAGAAAACCCAATTTTATATTCCATATCATAAAGACGCACCCGCAACATTTACTTTTGGATACAGCGAAAATAAGCGCCGTTTTATAATCCAGATGATGCGGTATACTGGACATGGAGTGCCGGGCGCGGAAACATCGAAGTGCTACGCAGAACGGGTGAAGCGTTGAGTGTTGACGTGCGGACGTGGCCTCCACAGCTGCCCAAGCTGGTGAAGGAGTCGTTCAGCGCGGACGCCGAGAAGCAGTCGATCTTCGGGCACTCGATGGGGGGGCACGGCGCGCTGGTCTGCGCACTGAGGAACCCCGGCATGTACAGGGTGAGGATCCGCCGTGAAGTGAACGGGGAGTACGGGAGGGGGAACAAAGCACGGAGCATTGTATAATACGGAGACCATGGGCAGCGTAACCAGATTCTCAGGGCCGTACTCTCAAGTTGCGGCTTGGCTCTGGCTCGGTCTCCACTAACGTAAACCCCGCTCTGACTTGAACCGCCTCGGTCGCTTTCAAAGATGCGTAGAGTGAACGGCTCAGCTGTGGCTCACCTCGGGCTCAGCTCGTGGAAATCTTGAGCGCATGGCTGGGACCATTGCTCAGAGTCAACTCAGGTCAAGCACGTATTTGAGCTGGATCACTTGAGCCAAGCCTGAGCCTTGACTAAGAATACCGACCTAAACATCCGAATTGCTGGACTGCCGATCTCACCACTCCCTCTCTGCCTCTCCCCCTCTTTCCCCCCCCCCCCATCACCCGCCCGCACCCAGTCCGTGTCGGCGTTCGCGCCGATTTGCAACCCAGTGGAGTGTCCGTGGGGCCAGAAGGCCTTCGCGGGCTACCTTGGCGAAGACCGCGAGGCCTGGAAGGTGCGTTATCGCGTCACGGGTCATGGGTCACTGAAAGTAATTCTCCACCGACCACGCCCGATGTCATTGCGCCTCGGAAGCAAAGCTGCCCGCGGAATTATTGACCTGGTTGCTGGTAGAATGAAATGGGTGGCACGCGGCCAGCAGTGGCCACAGCTATAGAAAATAACGAAAGGTAAACTGGATGCGGTGTGTTTAGGGCGCAGAAATGTTTACCAGTTTGCCAATCAACTGAAGTAGGTGGGACGTGACTCGTGGTAGCCACAGCCGTCGCGAGAGGTTGTGTACTGGATGCAGTGTGTCCGGCGCGGACGTATTTTCCGGGTCGCCATCACGGGATATGGAATTAAATGAACCGCTTCGTCTTGTTCGCACAGGCGTACGATGCCACGTTGCTGATGTCCGCCTACTCGGGTCCACCACTCGACATCCTCGTTGACCAGGGCAAGGACGACCAGTTCCTCTCGGCCGGGCAGCTGCTGCCCGACAACTTCCTGGCCGCGTGTACGCAGGCCAAGGTTCCGGCCGTCTTCAGGCTACAGGAGGTGTGGAGCCACCTGTGTGTGCGTGCCGCGATTTAAACTACACCAAACTTTTTTTTTTTACCAGGTAAGGCCCACTGAGCTACACAGATATTTTTCCAGAAACGACCTGGCCACAATTGATTGACCTACGAAGTGGCTTATCATCACGTGGAAATCTATAGCAGCCAAATACTCTTAAACGCGCATTTTAACATGAGCCTGGTTCTCTTGACACCTTTTTGTGGACTCTCCGGTGTGCACAGGGCTACGACCACAGCTACTACTTCATTGCCACCTTCATGGACGACCACGTGCTGCACCACGCCAAGTACCTCAACGCGTGATGGCGATGCGGGGGGAAGCCCGCCGCGAGGCCCGGTGTCGCTCACCATGGCCTGGAGACGCTCATCATGGCCTGGTGTCGATCCTGGGTTCGAGTCCAGGCTCTCGGCCGCCTGTGATTTAAAATCGGTTCCCGAGTTGTGTCGCAGCCCTGTTTGCCAAAGAAAAGGGGCACCGCGTTGGCGAGATGTTGCCTACGAATGTTGAACTTCTTTTGCACCGTACGTAGCCAACCATGCTAATCGGAGGTGCGGGGGTTGGACAACACAAAAAGCAGTTGAAAAAAAATGAGTTTTCAATATAGATTTAAAATGACATAGCTCCAGTGGCTTCCTAATAGCGCTCACTCACCTGGTATGTAGGAGGTCGAGGGTTCGATCCCGACCCCTGACGCCTGCTGTATATTTGGAGTTTGCGTGTCTCTCTCCCCGTGGTCGTGTGGATTTTTCTCCAGGTCTTCCAGTTTCCCCCTCCACATTTAGAATCAACGTTACACATGTAGAGTATTTGGCTGCTATACATTTCCACGTGATGATAAGCCACTTCGTTGAGCTATCATTTGTGGCCAAGTCGCTTCTGAAATATCGCTCAGCGGGCCTTGCCTAGTAAAATAAAATAGTACAAATTTTGTAATATTACGAAATAGTTAATATTTTTATTAAATAGTTAATAGTTTTAAATAGTGGGCAGAGCAAGAAGTGTCACATGGTCTCACTTAACTAAAACAAAACTTTTTATTTAACCAGGTAAGGCCCACTGAGCTCTGTAGCTCTTTCTCAGAAGCGACCTGGCTACCACAAATGATCACTCAACGAAGTGGCTTATCACGTGGAATTTATAGCAGTCAAATACTCTAAACGCACGTTCATTATAAATGAGGAGGGAAAAGCCGGAGGACCCAAATAAAAATCCACGCGACCACGGGGAGAACATGCAAACTCAAAATATACAATAGGCATCAGGGTTGTGATCGAACCCACGACCTCTTGTATACCAGGAGAGGTAATTAACATATTGCCACCATCGCAGCAGCAGCTCTGGTTTTGTGGAGCACTGCCACGTGGCCAGGTTGGATCTTGACCTGGCAACTTGGGTGTGGAGCCGGTTCAGAGTATTCTACGTGTACGTGACATCATCATCATCATCATCTTATACGAGGAGATCCACTACTCGAGATGACATGGATGGCTAAGCCACCCCGCCGATTTCACGACATTGTGCGTGTGACACAATTGTCGAGAGACAATTCGTGCCAGTAACGAGCAAAGTAAGATTATTTTGCATTGAGGTTGGCAGAGCGAGCAGAACTATAAAAGTGGAACTAAAATAATTAAGTAATGCTGTAATATGTACATCTTCCAGGATGTGTGGTCATCGTGGAAGAGTAGGCCAAAAACTCCCTCCACAGGGGCTCTCTCGAGCTCCCTCCAGCGACGGAGGGCCTCCTGCCAACATTTCCGTTCGTGCCGCAGCGCTGCACCTTTGCCGTCAATTTAATCTCCAACCCCGTGACCGCAAACGGTGACCATCAAACCGCTTGGGGTGTGTGTCTGTGTCTGTGTGTGTTTTTGTGCTACACATGCCCTATGCCCCCCACCCCCCAGTTTGTTGTGCTCATAATCTGCTTAAATAAATTTGTAATTGCAAACTCAAAGCTCAGCTGGGCAATGATTAACGCGCGGTTTAAACATTACGCCGATGCTGCGCCACTGTGTCTTTTGTTCCTTGCCCGTAAAGGTCCTCACACGGCCCCAGGCACAGCGCCTCGTATTTCACGGCGGCTTCAAAATCACTCGGACATCGCGCACTCCTGGCTGTTGTACGCCCTCCGTGCGGTGGCGGCTGCGAATGAAACCCGCTCGCTCCGGCGATCGGTCGCTACGACCGCGCCCGGAGTGGGGCGAGAAGGGGGGGTCGTAGCCCGACGTTGCCCAGCCTGCGTCCGCCCTCGTCGAGTCGCCCAAAGGTTTGCATGGCTTGGGTTCGTTGGACTTCCACGTCGTTCCTGCAATGAGGCGTTGTGCTCGTGACCGGGTAGCGGACTTTGCTCGTCTTCTATCGAGCGCGAGTGCCGCGCTTCTACAAGGAGAGTATAAAAATACTTTGAATTTTACCAGGCAAAGCCCACTGAGCTATGTATAGCTCCTTTTCAGAAGCGATCTGGCCACAAACAATAGCTTATCATGTGGAAATGTATAGAAGCCAAATACTACTAAACGCATGTTTCTCAATGTAAAGGGAAAACCCGGAGGACCTGAAAGAAAAATCCACGCTACCACGGGGAGAACATGCAAGCTGGAAATATACAACAGGCGTCAGGGTTGGGATCGAACGCACGACCTCTTGTATACCAGGTGAAGTAGTTAACATCTCGCAACCTCTAAGAACTGTACTGACAGCAGCGTCCCACCATCTGTTTTTACACAGAGGCTCACTTCGCCACAGATTCACACAGAGGCCCAGAGATATACTCACGTGGAGACCAATACAACTCCAATTAGCACGGTTGGCTATGTACGGTGCGAAATAAATTCAATGTACAACACACCGGAAGCTTATATTCTTTCGGTGAAGTCACGTAGATAGGTTCAAGTAAAATAACCAAAAACTACGACGTTTCGATCGCAACACAAGCATTCGTCATCAACACAAGCGTTCGTCATCATCTTCCTGATGACGAACGCTTGTGTTGCGATCGAAACGTTTTTTTTTGTTATTTTCTTTTAACCTATCTACGTGACTTTATCGAAAGACCCAAAGAATATAAATTCCTGCAGTCACGAAAGCTTTAAGTCAAGACATAGGAAGCTTTGACCCATAAAGTTTGTCATAGGCTTGGAGACATTCCCATAGACTCACGCGGAGACCACAGATCTGCCTCAGAGTATCCCACCATCGACTCCGATGTCTTCTCTCCCCCTTAGTCGCTGGACTTAATGGAGACGACTCCGGTGCATGTGCACGCGCAGGGACACAGCGTGTCCCACTCGTGCACACGCAGGGACACAGCGTGTCCCACTCGTGCACACGCAGGGACACAGCTTGTCCCACTCGTGCACACGCAGGGACACAGCGTGTCCCACTCGTGCCTACGAAACATGGGCACACCGCTGTGCGGGGTTTCGAAGGTTTCAGCTTGGCTAAATTATTCTGTGGGACGGGCACGTGGTGGTTGCGTACGCGATGACATCGACTCCGTATTCCACAATTCATTCGCTTCATCGTTTTTGAATGATCGCTGGATTGTGGTTAAAGATTGAACAGAGAGCTGTTAATTATAATTATTATATTTCGATTTTAAAGCTTTCGTGACTGCAATGATTCATCTTCTTTGGTTCTTTCGGTAAAGTCACGTAGAATGAGAATAAAATAATAAATTGATAAAATAAAATAACAATAATATTCTCACGACGTTTCGGCCACAACACAAGCGGCCTTCATCAGGTGAAGGGACGAGACTGTCTGGTAGGACTCACTCCAGCGCTGTCCTACCAGACAGTCTCGTCCCTTCACCTGATGAAGGCCGCTTGTTTTATACAATTATTATTTTTACAAATGTCGCTTCCCGTCCGTTCCAAATGAGATGTTTTCTAGTCCACCAATGGCATGGATTCTGCGACCCAATGTAAAAAAAATAACGTGCAGCCCTCGGTCAATCCACTGCTGGATGAAGGCCCCCCCCCCCCCCCCACGCCGTGTTGGTCATGATGGTTGTTTGACCATACTTTACCAAATCGGTCAGTGTTGGTTGGTAAATGCGGAGTTGGCAGGAACGGGTTCGGATATCGCTCACCACTGATGTTAGCCGTCGTGGTGGGGGCGCCACGGTGGCTATGAGATGTTAACTACCTCGCCTGGTATACAGGAGGTTGTGGGTTCGATGCCGACCCCTGACGCCTGCTGTATATTTGGAGTTTGCGGTGTCTCTCCCCGTGGTTGCGTGGATTTTTTCTCCGGGTCCTCCGGCTTTTCCCACCACATTTAGAATCGACGTCACGCGTTTAGAGTATTTGGCTGCGATACATTTCCACGTGATGATAAGCCACTTCATTAAGCAATCATTCGTGGCCACGGCGCTTCTGAAAAAGAGCTATATAGCTCAGTGGGCCTTACTTGGTCAAATACAAGTATTGTACAATATTGCATATCGTAGTATGCTAACCACTAGCCCACCACTCCGGTCCAGACAACTGTTAACCAGCAGTTTGCTTAAACGAGCAAACTCTGGAATAGTTTCGACCTTCAGGGTCTCATCATCAGTCAGGATTTTTAAACAAAATTCCGCTTGGTTGCCAGACCCGATCTACAAATCTGTGTCTCCGCTGCAAAAAACAGCATTCGTTTCTTAAAACTCAATCATTGTTTGGAGTATTGTGGCTAAACAAATATATATATTCGTCTTTCCACATAATATACTCCTGTACTTGTGTTCTATCAATCGGTTGGACATCCCAGAAGGCAGTGTGGCATTTACTTTCATATTTTGTATGGAGGGGGCACGTAATTATTTATTCTCCAGACAAATATCCAACCTGCATTTGTGCAAGTGTGGCGACTGACGACGACGTAGTGAGAGCCACTTTATTGGGACGCAGCCACGATACGGGGCCCTAGGTGTCGTGCCGTCTCCAGCTTGTAACTTCCTCCCAACGTCCCCACTCCTCGTGCTCTCTCTCCGCTTTAATATTCCTCGGGCCCCTTGCTGGAGCCTTCTTGTCCTTGGTTTTCCCTGAGCCAATCCCAGTCCTTCCCCTACAACGGATCCTCTCTGTTCTCCGATCGATCTCGTTCAAACCTGATTCCTCCAATCCCTTTAAAAGGCAGTCTCCCGAACAATCGGAGACCTTCCAATATTTTCAAATAGCCGTGAGGCTGCGTATGGGCTTCGGGGATATTTTTGGGTCATTCCACAAGCATCCTCCTGCACCACCTGCATCTGGTGGTCTCGTCTACCGGGTAAACCCTCGCGTTGATTGAGGGAGTTCCCTCGCTTTATGCGGGTAGACTGGGCTCGACAAAGCGAAATCGCACAGAGTGGAGCGGCACAGTCACCGGACCCACAACGCAGCACACGAGACGGCTACACGCCGATGTTGTCCCGCGTATGGCCGCTTCGCCGCATCCGACTGAATTGAAGCCACACGCGAGAAAAAAATTGTTGTAGAAATGTTCGCGACATCGCGCCCGCACAGAGCGAAGGAGACCCGCACTGTTGGGCCCTGTCCAGTCTAACGTGTTGTTGCCACACCGCACGGAGACCACTGCACTTTGGCCTAAGCATTGCTACACCACTGCCG